CACACACACACACACACACACACACACACACACACACACACACACATATATATATATATATATATATATCGTCGGGACGCCACTCATACTTACGCAAACATACATACACGCCTGTATACTCATTGACGTACGCAGACACACACACGCAAACAAACTCACCCAGCGGAGCTCACACAAACATAAACATATGTGAACAGTATGGGACTTGGCATATATACGTATATATGTGTCGTTGGGTACGTACGTACGCATTTGGTTGCTGTATTCAATGTTGGATTGTGTAGCGAATATTTTTTTTTGATTGTTGCGCTGTCAACGTGCAGACCGTTTTTCTATTTTTGTTCGATGAATAATATTTTCTCGCATGCACGTATATACATATGATGGGGTCTGTGTAAGACTATGATAGGTAAAAGTTTTTATTATTTTTAAATTTTAAGGCGGTTTTTGTTATTATTTTAAAGCCGGTTATTTGCTTGTTTTTAGCGATTGGGCATATGTAATTCCAATTTGTAATACTTATTAGTATTTATGTGATAATTTTGCTGGGGAAGAGAGAAGTAATTATAATTGTGGGCTGATACGTTAATGGTAATTGCGGACTAATACGGCAATAGTAATTGTGATGTGGTAGTAATGGTGGGGGGGCGTTTGATGATAATAACAACTGTAGTAGCAAATAGTTATTGTAAAGTGGTAGAAGTGATCGTAGTAATGGTGTTGGAATGATAATAACAATAATTGCAATTATTATGATGCTATTTTGAACTAGAAAATAATCGGTGGCGTTATGGTGTCAGTGGTTTCTCTTTTCATGTTTATAGGGTCAATAGTGGTTTATGTGGTTGTATTTGTTGATTGATTTTTTTATCCGTTTGATATAAATTCTGATAATGGGTATTTATTTTCATGCCTACATTTGGAAATTATTTCTGATCTTATGTTTTGTAAATTCTTTTGTTGGCTATGAGGAATTGTTGCTACCTTTTCGTGTAGGCAAAGTAGACACTTTTTTGTAATGTTGTTGCAGGGAGGTGCTTTTTTCAATATTTTTCAGCTTATTCTTGGTGTAATATTTCTGTCTTTTAGATGCCAAATGTATGTGGATAGTGAGGTGCTGTTTGAGTATTTTCTCTTGGAGAATGAAAGGTTGTCATTGTTTTTTTTTCTTCACCATTGACCCTATAAATATGAAAAGAGAAAACACTGACACCATAACACCATCAATTATTTTCCTGTAAGCCTACTTTTCTTTAAAACTTCCTCGTTACTTAAATGTTCAGTCCATGATATTCTCAGCATCCTTCTATAGAACCACATCTATGAGAGGATTGTCCAACATTGACTGTAATACTGGAAGACTGCTATTATATAACAGTTTAGTACTCTTTTCATTGTGTATGCTGTAGGAGATTTTGGTGTTATCTACTAATATTTTTCATCCCGATAAGTTGGATTTTACCTTTTTAAGATCCAAAAAGCAATATGAGCACAAAACTGCACAATTTTGATCTGGGTGTGCAAACAACTTACAGTAACGTGTAAATAATTTTGGTAATTTTAAATTATTGCAAATTCCTAACAATTGCGATCTTATAAGCCGACTTTTTTTATTATGGTGTCTACAGATATGTCTTTTGTTATATTGGAGTCATTTTCATACCTGGTTATCATATTTTTATCGGAGATAAATGTAAAATTTGATGCGAGTCGGGAAAATGGCCATGCAAAAGATTTTCTCATGAAATCAGATACTGTGTTTTAAAACGAAATATGTCTGTAAAGAAAATTTTAAGAAATTAATGTACATTTTTAATATTTTATGGCTTCCTGTAGCTTAAATAATTATTTCAATGCGCCTTCACCATCTTCACGGGTAATAGATACCATTCCCTGTGGTTGGGATTCCCACAACTCAAGATCGCGTGGATTCGTTTAAAGAATTTTACTCCTAAGTTCTGTCAATATCTGAATGATGATTTAAGTCTCAGCTCTATTCTGGACAATCTTTCAATACAATGATACATTCCCCAACCAACTTCTGTTGTATTGCATGCAATCTGTGATATGGAGTTCCGTAATGCTAAAAAAAATTACTTTTCTCCAAATCTGGTATCAAATGTTTCTTCAGCAACAAGATGTATTAGTACACGATTCAAACTATAGTCAATTTTAATCAATTTTCAGACACTTACTTGAAAAACTTTACTGTTTTTATTGTGTAACGTCAATCATTTCATTCTCGTCTCGGTCTTCCGACAAATTCACATTTATTAGGATGCAGCTCCATCACATAATTTGATCTTATCCCAAGCATCTGCATTTTACAGATTTGACCAACTTAATGTCGCCTTAAAATGCTTTTTGTTTAAAGTTGGTTTCTTCGTTGAAAGGAATCTCTTCAGCCCATATTCTTGAAGAATGCTCTTAGTGTTATCTGCTGACAGCAAATTGAAGAAATCTTACTCATCCATCACTTGTTAAACATTAGTTTTCTTTCACTAAGTTTTGAGCTGTGCAGATCAGTCTCTGTATTTTCTATGCTGCAACTTTCGAAGGCGGCCATATTTTGGTCGATTCAAAACACCACACGTGCTTTAGGACCTCTGAAATGCCTCCTCTTGACATTCTAAGTTAATTAATGATTGCTCGATTCATATTCTTGGCCATCTTCTCCATCTTTATGCTGGTTTCTTTGGAAATTTTCGCCATAATTTTAAGTCATGAAAGAATGCAGGAATTCTATGTCAGAATTTATGCTATATGTGGGAAAAATCGGCGCTGTTCTAGAAAAAGTATTTGCCTTTTAGCGGATGGAAAAGAAAAGAGAAATCAAAAAGGTCAAGTAGCCGAAAGATAGTGCACAGATGTTTTTCGGTGTTGTCTCAATTCTTCCCTCGTCGTTCAGAACACTTGCTAACATTATGGAAATTAGGAGTGAAAATTATGATAATTAGGTGTGAAAATTACCCCAATATGACCAAAGTCTCATCGGTAGAATGCACAATAAAAACATCCACTTATAAGATGGTAATTATGACAAATTTTAAATAGTTTAAAATGGCCGAAAATCTTTCGAAAATTTGAAAATAGAATAAAAAATAAATCAGACAGACCTTCTCAGTTGAAATTATCAAAACTTGTTCAAATGAATTGTTGATGTTCAATTATATATATATATATATATATATATATATATATATATATATAGATAGATAGATAGATAGATAGATAGATAGATAGATAATCAGATGGTTAAATATAGGTAAATGTACGAGCGAACGTTCGTATACAAATGCATACATACATACATATATATATATATATATATATATATATATATATATATATATATATAGAGAGAGAGAGAGAGAGAGAGAGAGAGAAATAGATATATACTTCATAATATCTTACATTGATTGCACAACTCGGAGTTTCATACCTTTGGCATTCGTCAGGTGCAATTTTGGGATTAGCCCCGCTTTTTTTAATATTTCTGGTTATTGCGAGGTATTTGATTTATTTTGGGGTGGATTATTTTTTTTTTAAATATTTAAATGAATAGTAGTTTAATTTTGGATTTGAATTTGGGCCCAGATTAACATTTAAGATTAAAAAATAAGGTTGAAAATAAGAATTATAAATTCTAATTTGAAGAGACGCTGTTGTTATAAAAGGTATGAACCTCCGAGTGGTTCAGTCAATGTAAGGTATTATGTATATTTATATTTTTTTATATATATATATATATATATATATATATATACTATTATTATTATTAATAATAATATAATAATAATAATAATAATAATAATAATAATATGTACTTCAAATTCTTTTACATTGAGCACAAATTGTCACCATTTTATATTCTTAATTTCGAGCATGCGCGATGTTTGTCTTGAATTTTGTCGACTGCACAGTATAGTAAGGTCAGTTTGGCACCGTCTGTGAGAAAAAGAGCATCATGAGGCAATTCACTTCGCTAGAAATTTGGAAACACGATGCTGCACTGCTTGGCATTTGCGCCAGAAGCTATAATACCAAATTTTCAGAGTGTTTGGATGTCAATCTGAGGACAGTGCAGAAGATTCGGAAAGAGTTGGGTATTAAATGAATGGAGTCATAACGTTGATTAGTGATCACACCAAACACCATGATATTGACATTTAGTTGATAATTTATTTCATGGGATAAGGCACCCATCCCTTCGGACGAAAATTTTACAAAATTAGATGAACTTTTAAATTTATCCAGACACAAGAAAAAGAAAAGATGGAAAGAAAATGAGAAAAAAAGAGAAAAAGAAAAAGGGTGGTAGAGAAAGAAAGGAGAAAAGGAAAGAGGTTTTTAAAAATAAGAGGGGAAAGACAGAGATTTCAAATTAAGTTTTTTTTAGGGGAAAGAGAAAGAGAGATAGACATTAGAAGGGGAAAGGGGACAACAGGGAAATAAAAGTGTTAAGCAGTCGACGAATAAGAACATGCTTCCTCTTCCCCGGACATGACAAGTAAAAATGTGGGTGGAAGAGAGAGAAAAAGGAAAAGGAAAGAGGTTTTTAAAAATAAGAGGGAAAAGACAGAGATTTCAAAATAAGATCGCATGAAATAAATTATCAGCTAAATTGATTTCTAAGGACTAAACTTTCATTATTATTGTTCAGATTGCCTACATTTGTAGGGGAAGTGCTCAATATCAGAGATGGAGTGTTTATAAATATAAACAGTGGAAACAAACGAATCAACACTGCATGGCGACAATCATTTTGATAACTAAAGACCAATGCCTGAAGATCGTATTAAGGTGTGAAAGTGGCAGTTCCTACGCAGCGTTGATTCCTATATCAACAGTGTCTCTACATTTGCCTCTCCTAATCTCTCTCACTTTATATATATATATATATATATATATGTGTGTGTGTGTTTGTATGCGTGTGTATATATATATATATATATATATATCGAGAGAGAGATAGAGATAGATATAAACAAGTTATAGAC